TACAGGCATTTTCACAATTTGGCGGACTGAAATCTACATTAAAACTGCAGGTAACTACTTAAAAATTCACTTTCTTGGATTGATAGTAGGTTTTTCTTTCTCATTTTAAACAGAGTCCAGCCAAAATCGGCTTCTCCGACTCATATCGTACCTAAAACCGAATGAAAACTGCAAATGTTAGCTTAAACTATAATTTTTTGATCCAAAAAGTTACATATTCATGTCAATATCTTTCAAATACTAACCAAAATTGGCGTCTTCGGGCATTAGAGTAACGCAAACCTTTATAAACCATTAGATATCGATGTAAAACTATCATTCTGAGTCTTATTGTACCGAAATCTACCTTTTCTGGGATAAGGAATGGGTTTTCATTGCTGTGAATCAAGAGCGAAAAACATTTATTTGTCCCAGAAAGAGGGGTTTTGGGTACATATCTGCATTTCTAAGGTGGGTTTCGGCGTAATAAGAGGGGAAAAAGCAGATTCTGAGAATTTTTAATTAAACTTGTTTCAACAAGCCCAAGCGGCTACCACATATCGCACTGGGAACGTGTTCATCCAATTTAAAAAGCATAATCATCGCAGAATCTTGTAATTAAAATTGTACGCGATTAGATAATTACAAACTCCAATTATTGGTTAAACAGTTTGCTATGTCTTCGGCGGCCTAATGATTTAATTGCCTTCATTATTCGTTTAGTCAATTGTGCTGAGGTATTCAATTACCAGAATTAAAGTGCGTGATGCGCGGAAGATTGCACGACTTTTTGATTTTATTTTTTTTTTAAATAATCATCGATCGAGTGAAACGTTTCAAGGAAATAATTTCATATTCTATATCTCGGCACTTAGATGGAAATAAATCAAACGCAACTAACTGGATACTTAAAATTGACATTCAACATATTGGCGTGATATTTCAGTGGCAATACTCTCATTTTAGAAATTCCTCGGGAACAACTTCGCGTTGAAAGTGCAAGATACACATAAAGATTAAATCTAGGATACGAATCTGCAAAACGTATTATTATTACGAAGCTGCAGAAAGCAATTTGAGTGCGCGGCAATGGTAAATTAGTTCGATTAATTCGTTATCCTCCAATATGTTATCGAATGTATCCGTGTAAGGTACACGCGTCTAATAAATATAAATTTTCTTTTGAGACCTCATTGGTGTTAATTTGCTTTGTTAATGTGTTAAAACAATACGCAAAATATATAAGTTCTAGTTAAACTCCAATTTCACACGTTCATTGTAGTAGAATCCTCGGTGGAATTGTTCCTTATCCAAATCCAGGCTCGAAACAGTCCAGAGATTATTCTGGACTGTGCTAGACTTCTTTCTATTTCGCCATTTGTCCAACCGAAAACCGAATTCTTGTAGAAAAGGAAATGGACGAAACAGGAGAGAATGCGCAGCACCGTTTTCGAATATATGGTCTGTTCATAGATGTAAGAAAGTGACCAATTGCTTTTGAATGGGATTATCCAAGGATGGTCATTAACATGTAATGCAACAAGATTATTACATGAAGTTTCGGAATTTAAATTCAGGTAAAATTGTGGTCCAAAATAGAAAATAATTTTATACCTGTATTTAAGATTCTCTGTTTTGGTATACTACTTAGTTTAAGTTTATTAGTAATCATTCTTATTTCGTGTGTAATACAGCGTGTGTTGAATCGTGTGCGAATTATGCAAAATATGTGCGAGTCTAGTGTATGCTCCCGCCCAAATGTAGAAAACACCATTCTATTGAAACTAAGGAAGTTATAAACAATGTTTATTTGACTCTCATTGAACATGGTGCCAACAAGCAAGCATCTTTAAAAGAAACGGCCACATTGACGAAAATTCCAATATCAATTTTATGGAAAATTGTCAATAATCCAATTTCAACGAGCAAAAAAAGAAGCGATTCAGACATTTTCTCGAGTGTAGATGAAAGTGATCAAGATATAATACGGCGTAAAATTTACCAGTTATATAAGGAACAAAATGTGCCTACATGAGATATCTTAATTAGGAGGCTTGAAAAAGATGAAACCGGTGCTAAATGTGGCAAAACTACCTTATGGAAGTGTATTCAACACATAGGTTTCAGATTTAAAAAAATTGACGAAAGGCAAGTTTTAATGGAATTTTAGAATTCTGAAATGGCGACTGGAATATCTAGAAAAAATTAGGATCTACAGGGAACAACAAAGGCCAATTATTTACTTGGATGAAACCTGGTTCGACACTTATGATACCCCGGAAAAGGGTTAGGTTGACTCAACTGATAAGTGTAAAACAAACGCTCCATCAAAAAGAGGTAAAAGAATAACTATTTTGCATGCTGCCTCTAAAGATGGTTCGATTCCAAATGGACTTTCTCTGTCTGCGAAAAATATTAAAGATTCTTCTCTGGATTACCATGAAGACAACACCGCTGATTTATTTGAAAGTTGGTTTAAAAACAAACTAGGTCCAAACATTCCTCCTAATAGCGTAATTGTAATGGTCAATGCAAGTTATCACAGTAGACAGTTGATTAAAACCCCTTCCTCATGTGACACAAAAGCAACAATCCAAAACTACATGTATAATAACGACTTTTATTTTCACGAAGATTATACCAAAAAGCAATTAATTGAGGTTCTACAAAGCTTATAGCATATATAATATAGCATATAGAAAAAGCAGAACAATCGTATATCCATATTGCAAATAATATAGAACAAATAATAATTAGAACAGGCGATGATACCGATAGTGTTACTGATATATTATGTGAATAATTTTAAGTAATTTAAGTAGGTAGTAAAAATAATTTGTAATTTTATTTTAGATTTAAACATAAATACATACATAGATAAATAAATATTGTTTAGTATCTTTCCTAACAAAACCCCAAATAATTAAATTCTAAGCAAAGTACGGACCTGTTCGGCCATATTTCATTCTAACAGCCCGGGCATAATTCGTATCGGTTAGTCACTTTCTTATATCTATGAACAGACTTTACCCGGCCAATCAGTGCCCTAGAAATTCTGCCTGAACGTTTGTAAATGGTATTTATTTCATTGAAAATATTAATTTGGGCCCAGATCGGTACTTCGTGGCTATCATAAAATAATTAAACTGTAACTTATTTCTTTCAAATTTTATTCAAAATAAATTGTTTTTTTTTGCCTACTCTTACCAAATTGGACACTTAAATCGAATGTCCAGTTTATAAAAGTTAATTTTAGCTCTTTTCCATGATTTAAAAATATATAGTATATACTATATACAATAAAAAAATATTGATAACTATTAAACTATTAGTTTAAAGAACATTATATTAAAACCATTCAATTCTACAAAAAGGGTGCTCCGGAAATTTTCCATTGCAAAAAATTTGTACGGATTTTTATAAAAAGCCCATTTTCGAACATAACTCACAAAACTTAATGAGATGTAATTAAATTTTGGTTAGTTGGTGCACTTCACTGTTAATTTCGCTAAGAGACAGATAGACTTTTATCGAAAATTCAAATTATTTATAACGAAGTGCAAGAAATATAGTGACTTCACTCCCCGCAGTGACGGGTTAATTGAGCAATAAATATAAAAATATCAAAAGCACAAAACCCTCTATGTTAATCAAAATTAAGCAGTTAATTACTTTGTGTTTCCAGTATGATTTGAGTTTGCGATTTTAAGTAGATTGCAGCAATAAAATACATAATCAATGATACACATTTCAAGTAAGACTATTTTTCAAGTCTCAAACTCAATGAGAATTATAAATATAGTTGACAATCCAGTCAGTCTGATTAATTTATCTGTATTTATCCATGAATTATTTATCAAGCTTGGTAGATAAAATTTTGATAACCTATCCTTCTCCTAATCCCACTAATTGAAAAATTATTTATATTATCAGATTGCGAAAATTTTCGCAAATATCTAATTTACGATTTTTAGACGAAATTTGCAAACAAGAACACAAGATTGACTTAAATTAAAGATCAATAGGTGCTGCATATAAGATTTTTACGATAAGTCTTTTTGATTAAAAAACGCATGGCCATTTGGATTACTGTCCATGTTTAGTTTCTAAAAAATATAAATTCGTGTTAATTTATTATGAAATTGTCAACTATGTATTGCAAAATTTTGTGCTTTTTGGGTTAAAATGCCTAAACCTATATGACTTTGTAGACAATAATCAATTATTGGCATAACCAAAACTTGCTGTTTTAAATATCAGCTTGTCGACAGTGAACAACCAATTAAGTGATATCAATAAGGTCATGCAGTTTGTTGCGGATCTAAAAATGGATATTTGCACCTATGGCCACATGGTAAATGTTATCCACATGACATCACTCATAAGTAAAAAAACACCACATTAATGCACAATGGTGTGTCAATATTAAAAGGGCTAATTCTTGAATTTATTTAAAAAAAAAAACTCATACCAGCGTATGTCCCAAACGTCTTAACTTTTTAGATACTGGGTGTTCAAGTTTTCAAGAAAAAATGGTACGCCACTGACATTTATTCAGGTAAATATTGTCTTTGGATAGGAGTTAAGTTACAACAGTTAAATTAAAAATGTTTTTTCACTACACTGATTTAATAATTTTTGAAATGGGTGTAATTAATAATAATGGAATAAATGACGATATATAATATACATATTTATGTATTTTCGATGAGTCAATTTAAATTTTTACATTTAAAAATTTTCTATGAATATCGCGCATTATACAAATGCGGAAATGGCACAACCCAAAATTTAAGACGGTTTCATATTAAAATAAGCTAAACAACTATCCCCATCAGTATTGATACGCCATTAAGAAACATCCTGTATGTGGTCACATTGTCTACTACCAAATTTCAATTTCGGGTCATTAAAAATTATATTATCCGCCACAATGCAGTTCCATCATCGGCGACCATTAAAGCTACGACATGTGTTCGACACGTTGAGGTTATTATCTAAAGCGTAAAATGGACCCTCACCTTTTTGCCTGCTGACTGCCTTCATTGTTTTTATTCCCATCACGCCGCAAGGCCTCAAAATGTCTATATACATTGACTAGACCACACGAAAAACACCCTTCGACGCGAAACGTATATAAATAAATAAGTTACGTAAAAAAATTATTGCGGTTCTATGTACAGAAACATCACAAAAATCACAATAAATATCGAGGGGGACGAGTGACGCGGGGACTACACATCATCTCAACCGTTTACAGTTTTTTTCGCCGTGTTTTGAATTATGTCCATTGCAATCTCGAGACTGTCACTGATCTATTTCGGTACCGGCTCGAAATAACCCGGTCCATTCATATATATATATATATTCTGGCTATTTATTTATTTTTTTTCCTTCGAAACCGCCGAATTCCCGCGTACCGGTCCCGAGGCACTTGCAAAACAAATTGTTTACTCAAACACTCCAGTACTTCGGCGTGTCCGTTAATCGGGGCCTGCGAGCACTATGGAGAAAAGACCGAATCACTACTAACCACACACTTCAATGACAAGTCCGTTTAACGACAATCCGACAACCTGACGTTGCGACGCGGTATTATAAAGTGCCCCCCCTGGATATATAATATAGATTAAAAAAAGGTTTTTTTCGTTTACCACCGCGGCCGTGCGACAAAAGAATACAAAGAAACACGGAGGGCACCTGCAGCAAAACGAGACTCGAAGTATGAATTGGGTTTATGTTTGGCTCGGAAACACACAGAATCCCCCACCACCATATGTTCCGAACTTATGAATGAATAGTCTCGAACGAGGAGCCACGGCCGGATCTGACGTAAACGACGACGGAACGACTGGCTTTCTCGCTCGCGCGATTCGAGAGTCCTCTCGTGGGTCGAACGGCGTCTTAGGAGACGCGAGGTGAATCCGTTCTGCGCGTTTTCCGTCTTCGAACCTTTCTACATGTATTTTTTAATGCAAATATTGCAGCGATAAACCAGTTATTTTTTCCGGAATTTGTGCGCGAAAATCGGCGCAAAACGTTTGTTTTCATAAACTTGATGGTTAATGTAAATAAAATCGTAAAAGTATATATTTAGAACAAAACTATTACGTGGGATACTAGTAATATCGTACAGCAAAAATCCAAGTGGAAAAAATGTTCAAGAAGCCACTTAGAGCCTTGCGACTCCGATTCCTTGATAAAAGGCTAATTCCTTCGTCTCCAGTCTAGTGATTGCCGATCAAAGTTTCGTCTCCCGAATAAGATTATAAATGTCAATGGGCAATTTGTTTAAAAAAGCCAATCATCATTTTGTTCCCCCCTTCAAACAAAGATTCTCATTTCATTGCGCTTTTAGTCTTAAGATTCTGCATAATAGGAGTAATAAGTTTATTCATTGAATTAAAACATGGATGTTTATAAAAATACATGCAGAAATGCGCGTAGAAATTGCATCGTGTCTACTGGGCTTTGAGCCAAATTAATTCATCGGAGCTAATATATTTTTTACTTTTTATTTATTTACACCCATTCAATCCCAATTACATAGTGGATAAGACAATAAAAATACTACAGCGGAGCAAAAATAACATCAAAATAGAGGACAAAAAAAAATACACAACTAAAATAATAATAATATACCATTCACTTAAAGAGGTTATGTGGCGAATTCTATTAAGCGACGGTTTTAGGGTGTGTGGACTCGATTGATTTGATAATTAACAAGTATATAAATGAACTGGAGCTCTGCCGATTTACGTCTTTCAGCGAGGTGCGCGAGATTTGCAGCCAAGGTTCAATCTTCATCGTGTTGGCTTCCGACGGACCATCCCCAATAAAATTTTAACGACGATATTACCAATTGTTATTGGGTAAAGCCATAAACAATTTTTTTTTTCTAATTGACTGTCAAGGCAGGGGAGGGACAGGTATATTTCTTTCTTTCTCAATTGAAGAAAAAGAATACACGTAGTGATTTTCAAACTCACCATACATACAATAATGATCAGGACCTAATAAGAAGGAAAATATGTTGTCATTATCAAAGCGAAGTTGTTCCTACCTTGGATAAACTGAAAAAGAAGCTAGAAAAAGATGAAACCAATGTAAATATAAGCTGTGCTGATGAAACATGGTTCGATACACACGACACAGTACCCAATCGATGGGTTGATTCCACTCAAAACTGTCAGTCGAAAATACCTTCAACCAAAGGAAAACGTATCACAACGCTTCTAGCTTGGATTATCATGAGGATACAAGTGTCGAACTTTTTGAAAATTGTTTTCAAAACAATCTTTTAAAAAACATTCCCAATAACAGTGTTATTGTCATGAATAACGCAAGCTACTACGGCCGTTCGCTACGCATAGCGCCAGCCTTGTTAACCCATATTATTCCAAGCATAAAAAAATAAAAAAATACTTTTTGCTCTGAAATTATTTATTTTGTTGCACTTAAGGATACATTGCATGTGTCAAAAAAAAAAAACTCGAAACATAAATACTGGTGCGTAAACGAACCACTAGGAAATAACATAAAATAATGTTTTGGGGCACATAAGATGTAACATATAATTTATACATAAATATACAAAAGAAAGTTCAAATTCGACAGAAAACAACTAAAAGTAGATTGTTTTCCAAATGAACCTGATTTGATACAAAAAAACACATAATATTTTATGGTGCATGCACCACCGGTAACATGGTGATATTTCACAAAGCATGAAGTTATTACAAACGTCAATTGTGTGGCTGTGGCAGATTCTATATCTCCTTCGGGCTTTATTACCATGAACAATCATGAGGTGACCTTGATGCACTTCATCTATGGCAAGTGCAAGATTTCCTTGAGTAATTGTTTTATCAGTTTTGAAAAGTCGCAAAGCAATGTAAGATTTAAAATCAAATCAATTACTTCGTCATAAAAAAACAAAAAAAATATTTTAAGCGGAGTTTTTTCAGAATGCCTATTTTTTAGTTCCTTACATGATCTAAATTAATCGGATATAGGTGGTGCGTGTACTAAATCTGACCTTTCTTCCTTTTGACAGTAGAAGCCTGTCGTTTGCAGAAAGCATACGCCATCTTTTGAATTCCAGGGTGTCATCATCTGATGAGCCCCTGGAGGTTCAGTAGTTGATGAATTACAGGGCTGTCGAAGGACAGCTGTATCATTCGGTGTATGTAACTCGAAAGTTCCAACTATATCAGTTGGTTCCCCAAACTCTTGTAGATTTATGTTATCATTTATATCTTCTTCGTCAGTCAAGGTATCCACGTCGGGTGGAATACAAACCTCGTCAATATGTTCTGTAAATATTTTTTCAAGTTATTTTTAGCATAAATTTACAAGGAATGGAATGCTACAATACATAAGAATAAGTAAATCCAAATAATACTTACGACTTTCATTGTTATTGTCCTACTCCATCACGATCTCCTCCATAGCCGCCTCTAACAAAGTTTTGTTTCACAGATAAAACTATTGGTGCATTCACGCACCAGTAAATATTTTCAAAAAATAAAGCATAATCGATATAGTATTTCCAATGTATGTCTCCTGCGATGTAATCTACATACTATAGACTTGACAAAAATGGCAATACAAATCCGAAATATTTTGTTTTACTATTTTGGATTTACTTAACTTTTGAAGTCATATATAAGATCTTTCCTTTACACATAAATTAGTGATTTCTACGGTTTTATGAAGTTTAGTAGTGATAATAATAAAACTTCTAAATGGATATGCAAAAATATTTCCTGGATGTGACAAAAAAATCACAGAATAGGTGGTGCAATAACGCACTACTGGGACAAAATGGGTTAAGTTCAAAAACCGAAATGCAGAAATATGTAAGAAAATGATATTTTCAACTATTGCATTCTTATGCAATTAAAAAACAGTATGTATGCGATAATTTGGCTGAACAGGCTGGGCATACTGTTCCTTCAGAAAGTAAAATCAAAGGTCAGAACAAAAGGTTTCTCCTACTTTAAGTCCCAGTGTAATAAATTGTTTATATTATAGTTTAATTTAATAAGATTATACCCACCTAAATAAACAAAAAAAATTTGAGAGTCCGTCCCGAATGTTTAGAAAACATTTAGACATTTAGAAAATTATGATAGTAATAGGCCTGTAAATTTCGATAAGATTTTTTTGTTGGAAACTGGGATAGTTTTCGGATGAAATGAGTCGACAGCTAATTTGTTTAAGAGAAAAGTTCTTTAAATTTTTTGGGGACATTATTTTTTCACTAGATTAAATAACTCGACGTTTTGAAAACATGATAATTTTATTAATTAAAAGCAATGAACATTTGTTTTAACGGAATCTAAAAAACGTTTTTTTATGTGGGACTTTTCGAACATGTTAATTTTTTGAGTTTTGCAATTTTAGCAAAAATATTATTTAGATAATTTTCCCCATAAAAAAATAAAGTAACAACATTAAAATAGATTAAACTCGATAATAAAAATTAAATAAAAAAAAATTGTTTCTCAAATTGGATTTGAAACACCTTCTTTTCAAACGCAAGATTCTTGTTCAGAATGAAAGATTTCGAATAGAACTTAATTAAAAAATAGACTTGATACGATTCATAGCCGATGCTAAAACTGTACTAGCTCTTCTTGTCTTACATAACTATTTTCATAAGTATATCGTATCTGGTGGACGACTTCTGCAAAATTAACGATGCAAATGCTTTTAGTGAGCATAATTGAACACGCAACCTTTTAGATACCATAGTAAATAACTAATGTTGAGGAGTGCAGCTATAAAACTTTACAAGACATTAATTTATCTCCAAGTTGATATTGGATAATCGTTTCAAAATAAATGGTTATTCACTTTTACTAACTCTGAAATGGTTAATTAATACCATATCCGATTCACTTTTGCATGGTCTCGATTCAAAAGACGTTCCGTCAAACGGTTTTTTCTTGTTCTTCCAACAACCAAAATACCTCTTCGGCGCCCGAATCCTTTACCTATCTTGACAAGCACTAATTTGTCTTGGGACTACTAAAACCTTTTTTCGTGAAAGAATACGTACCTGACTGACGTTATCATATAACATTAACAATTCTTATTGAGATGTTTAAGATAAAAAAAAATTGTTATCAGAAAACATTAAGCTGTATGCAAGGATGTAAAACCTTGTTCACCGTAGGAGTCCGGTTTGAGACATTAAGCTAATATACGAAAATCAAATAGCAAAATTAGTTTTGAAAAAAAAAGTTGATTTGGCAATTTTTGAAAAAAATATAGATAATCCATCAAAGCTAGAAATTAAATAGTTTCATAAAATCTGTCAACATCATTAAATACATAATTTAATAATAATAATATTTCACAGAAGATATCATCATTAACAAATTAATAACTAAAAGCTGCCTAATAAGTAATAAATATTTTAATAATTACACCAGGTTGTATTGAAGAGTCTTCCGACAGTCGACTCATGTTAGGATATGTACGGCTTCATCGGTTTTGCCGAACAGGTAAACATTTTATTGCCCTACTGTAGACGATTTCCCCCGCTGTGTTGGTGAAAATATTAAGCAGCGTCGGGCGCAATCCTATAGACCGGGATCTAATGTAAGCCATATGTAGCGTATTAAATTTTTTAACTCCCAATGTAATTTCTTCATATTACTTATTAGTATATTCATAGGGTAATACAGAACTCTCAAAAAAGGCATTTTGCATGTCTAGTGCAA